CTAAAAGTAAATTGTGGCAAGCATGGCACAACCAAGGCTCCAATTCCAACAGTAGAATCAACATGGATACTCACATCGACAATTTGAAGCTAAGCTTGTTCAAAAACCATTGTAAATACACAGTGCCCATGGTATTCTATAAGACTAAACTCTTCAAACTTCAAAAATGTGAGCCACATGCCTCAAAATTAAGCTTCTACACAAATCTCTCTCATGAACCATCATCATCCAAACCATGTCCAAACCCAACTCTCCTATCAATGCCATGTCTATATCATATAAGAATTTGTGGTAACCTATATATTACACATGGCCTCACTGGGCCCACTCTTCTTTTAAAGGCACCAAAGGCTTTGTGGCCAATGGAACTGCATGTGTTCCCAGTCCCAGGTCACACTTTCAATTGAATAACTCCGACTGCTTGCGACGCTTCGAAACTAACCTTTTATTGCACTATTTGGCAACCTGCAGAATGACCCATGCTCCTTAGTCCCAATATTAAACCAGCACCACCAACAGCATGCCCATAGGGCTTCACATGCATGTTCTGGATACCTGAACGACTCCTTGGATGCTACATTTCATTCTTCACTCAGCAAAGCTTAAAAGGCGTGCTATGGCTTTCTCTGCATGCTATGATCTATAGAGTATAGACCCAAACTTTGCTCAGCAATGGCTGTGGGTTGAAGCAGTTATCCAACTCTTCGCTCAGCAATGCCAGCCGCATGCATGGAGGCTTTGGAACTAAGCTTTATTTTCGTTTCTATTTTTATAACTCCCGACTATGAGAAAGAGACCACAAATAATGTCACACAACAAGCATACATATTACATAGCAGGATGACACATACGCAATAGCACCAAACTCGAGCATTGGATCACCTATGGAAACTTAAGGAACTCAATCTAGCTCCCGCAGTTTTTCAGGACATGTGCACCTTGGCCCACAATTTTTTTTTTTTTTGAGAAGTGGCCCACAGATTTTGATTCTCCAATGACTAAGAATGCCTCGATACTCCAAATCCAAACAATATAGACATCGCGACACTCTTTCACGCGATTAGAAGAGTAATTAATCAGAAAAATGCCTAGACAACAGCAGGGCAGAGCTGCATTCGATCGGAAATCCAAAAGCCTTGGCCCCGTCTCTAAACCCGACGCCTCCCCTGTTCTCACGCCTCTAACCCAATCCTACTGCGGAACTATGAGAAACCGAGCCTAAAATAGACCCCCAGGCGGACAAAAACGCGATTCGCCCACCAAAAACACCTCCCGGACGAACCAAAACCTGTTCAGCGACTCAGAATCAGAGGGGGGAAAAAGGGAAAACAGGAGCGGGCTCCTCTCTCTCCTCCACAGGCGAAATTACCCGCGACACAGCCCACATTTCGGCACGCAGGAGAGCGGAACGCGAACGCAGACCAACCACATACCCTCCAGAAGCTAACGTCGCCGGCGGGGCAGATCGGGCGCTCCCTCCGAGTCCCGTGGTCCCCCCGATCGATCTTCGGAGAACCCGATGCAGCGGACAGCCCCGGACCAGGGCGGCCTCACCTCCTCCCTCTGAGCTCCTCGGCCGGAGGAACTGCCGGCCCCGCCGCCCTCCGCTCCCTCCTCTTCCGCCCGCACCGCCCGCCGGAGCCGCGGGGAGGAGCGGAGGAAAGCGAGAGGGAAACAACACCAGCGGAAGAGAGAGAGAGAGGGGGGGAGGCGGGAAGGAGGTTGGGTCGCTGCGACTTTGGGCGAGAGAGACACCACAGACTATCTAGAGAGAGAGAAAAGACAGAGAGAGAGAGGGACAGAGAGAGAGAGTGGGTACTAGTAGCGGTACGAGCTGTACAGATATGAGCCTCCGACTGCCGTGTGGGACCTCCACTCGTACAGGGCGCGTGCGATGCGAATGCGATGGCTTTCACCGCCAGGGCGACGAGGCCACGGCCAGCCGGCAAGCCCGGCACGTGTTTTTCACCTCGCGCCGAGTCCGAGACAGGCAGAAGCTGGAACCGCGTCCGCGTGGGGTTGAGGACGGGCTGGCGGGCGGCCGCGCGCCTCCACCTGTCGCCTCGCGCGTGCCTTTATTTGCCTGCCCGATTCGCCCCCCGCGGCCGTTCAAGGCCTTCCGCTTCTGCGCCCGCCTCGCGGGTGGCAGGAAGTGATGGCGCGCCTCGCGGATCGGACGGCTGGGCAGGACCCGAACTCGGTGGGTGGCAGCGAATCTTGGAGCGTTATGCAAGGCAGGGGTTTGGTAGGGTCCGCGGCGGTTTTACAGCAGGTACGGCACTGCGGCTGGCCGGCGGCTGCACAGATCGATACGAATCTCCCGCTGGCAGGAGTGTTGTCCGACACCCAACGAAGCAGGAGTGTTGTCCTATTTTCGACTCAAGGTTCCCACCTCTATTTTATTGTCTTTAGTGCCGAATGGTTTGACGATAAACATCTAAAAATAGAAAAGAAATCTATGTTTCCTTCTTTTATCACCGTAACTCATATCCTTGGTATCAGTGTGTATCACTAACAGCGTTGGAGATCAAATATCGCAAACTCATTTACTATAGCGGGTACCTTTAATGCAACTGGCAAGTCTGAAGTCTAGGGCACTCTTTACTCACCTCAGATGCCTTCACCGTTTCATCGTGTCACTCATGTCCATCGCTATGCTGCCCATATGAGGTTCTCACTACCTTGCGTTGCTCTACATCTTGCTTATCCATCGCATGTAGAAACCTGCTCTCGCCCCGGCAAACGCGTCTACCGCCTCTACACCCTCTAGTGACCTCCTACAAGAATATGCATGAACCAGTTGCCATGTCGTCCTACCAACACTCCTTGCTTCATGCCCACGCACTTTGTCACATGAGGAAATTTGCAACCACCACTTCGACCACTGTGTTGACCACCTATATGCTGCCGACAACCCGCTAAGGAGGCACTCGTGTTCGCCGCCACTACTTCCTCCTCGTGTCGTCTGCCTTATTTCTACTTGTGTCTGACTGCATGCTCGTTTCTTCCGCCTTATCAAAGTAGCCAGGTAGGAGTGTGCGGATGGAGCACCGATAGCGGAGCTATTTACTTAGAGTGTGATCTGAAGAACAATTGGCTAGAGGGTGCGGACAACTGGATGGGCCCAATATCATAGAAACGTGTCAAACGGCATATGGAAAAATCCTTCCTAATTTCAATATTAGATTGATACCACCAAATTTTAACACATTTTGATATTAAAACTCCTCTCAACAAAATTAGCTACCAACATGAAAAAAACTTGACGATAATTGAGATGTAAGGTGGACATCGAAGTTTGGGTGTAGTTAAAATTGACAGTATAATGAATGTTGAACTCTTTGTACAATTTCCAACAAATAATGTTAGACGAGGAGTCTAGATCCGTTATGGTTGCATACAGCTGCTTGTATTTGGTAGACTTGTGCAATGAATTATTTTTACCTATCACTGTGGTCTGCCGACTGCACAGATCGATATGGATCTCCCACCTTTAACTCGTATAAGGAAAAGACAGAGGAGAGATAGGGTACAGTGCAGTGATATAGTAGACCTCAAACATCCATTCAAGGCTAGTGGGCCAGTCATGACAGTTAACTGTCATAGAGCTACTCTCGGATGTATCATGTATTTTTGACTCAATAAGGTTGTCGCCTTTATTTCAATGATGGTTCAACGACTAATATATAAAAATAAAAAAAGTCTATATAGCCAATTTTGTATCGTCATAGTTATAAAATATCAAAATATACACATGTTTTTAGTATAAACTAGCTATTATGTACATACTCATACATACAACAAAGAAGACAGACCTAGCGTGCCCAAGACTAATACACAGCCTAAAACTTAACTTCTATGAGAATTGCACGTCATTTTTTGTTAATAATGTTAATCTGTACATATTGCCAACTTCTCTTATCAACAAGCCACCTCACCCTGCTGTGGTAACCTCATAGCAATGGATATAGACATGGGTGTTGACTAGCGCCGCTTCCCCAACAGTGCTGGAGATTGAATGTCGCAAATCCATTTACTATAGATGCCTTCACCATTTCGTCATGTCAACCCATATTTGTCACTACGCTGCCCACGCGAGGTGCTCATTACCTTGCACTGCTCTACATTAATTTGCTTATGCAGTCCATCGCATGCAGAAGCCTGCAACTCTCGCTCGGCAAACACGCCTGCCGCCTCTACACCCTCCAGTGACCTCCTACAAGAATATGCATCCACCCGTCACCATGTCGTCCCTACCAACACTCCTGCTTCATGCCCACGCACACTACAACACAGGGGGCCTTCGGTGACGATAAATAATTGTCACCAATAGGGCTTTATTTGTCGTGACACATAATCTATGACGATTTAGTGACGAAAACACTATGGTCACAGAAGGTGCGTCTCTGAGGACCTTCTATGATGATGGAAAGAATATCATCATTAATTTAATGACCAATATATTTTGGTCATAAACATTTATGACAACTAAGATCGTCATAGCAAACATCATGAAACGTTGACTAGGCCACTACCACATGAACATCCATGTGGGACTTTTGTTTGGGCTGATTTTTTTCATGCAGCCCAATCTGATTTTTTTCATAGTTAACATTACAGTCAGCAATTAACACAATTTAACATGCTAGCCATACATTTGCATTCACTGAAACATTACATCAGTTTGATAGTCATACATAAGCATTCACCATTCACCAAATTAGGTCCAGCAAGAACAAAGAGCTAACTCCTACAAAATAGGTCCCAATGTCGAATAGTTCAAGCCCATTTCAAGCTGAAACATTATAGCCACAAAAGTAATCCAAGAAGACCTGCAATGGCTGACCAAAAGTCATCCAGCATCCACAATGTCAAATAGTTCAAGCCCACATCAAGCTGAAATAGTACAGCCACAAAAGTATTCCAAGAGGACCTCCAATTGCTCGCCAAAAGTCATCCAGCACACCCACAAGATTACTCAAGGTTTAGGGAGGAGTCAACTAAACCTGTTTGAAGCTTATGAGCTGCCGAAGGAGATTGTTGTTTTCTTCTTGTGCCTTCTTCAAATTCTGGATCTCCTCTGATTGCTTTGCCATTGTTGCCTCAGATTCTTCTGCATGCATCTTTAAGGTGTCTACTTGTAGCTGAAGTCCCGACTTTTCTTGCTTCTCAGACTCAAGTTGAGCTTGTAGCTCTTGCACTTGTGAAGCAACAACATCCCTTGAGCTTGTTCCAGAGCTATATTGAAGGCCGATATTTTGAAGGAATGTACTGGACTGTGGCAGAACTTGGGCAACAACTTGAATATCAGACTTTGGCTGCTGTCCTTCTTGTAGTGGTTCAGCCTGAATTGTTTCCATAGAAGCCTAGCAATACAACCATTCAGACTCAATCTTACATGTTCTCAGGTTTGCTTTCAAGTACATGAGGCAAAAGAAAGGAAACTAGTACTTGCAATAGCATTCTTCACAGGTTCACAGAAACCAGTCTTCTTACTGCAGTGTGTGACCTTGAACAAATCAATTGCAGTGGGCTCTGTATCTTTATACTTTTCTTGCTTCTGAAATGACAAGAATCATGACATCATATGGTTACTTTCTTACCGCAAATTATACAACAATCATGAAATTAAAACTTAAACCACAAGATCACACATCATATAGTTACTTTCTTACCGCAACATAGGCAGATGCAATGTAGCACCGAGAGCCTGTTCGCTGCTGAAATTGGACTTTCTCACGATCAAGTTGGTTCTTGACACACTTATCCTGTAAATCACAAATTGTGTAAAAGTAATGGAAATAGTAAATAGTTCAAAAAAATACTACAGCATGCTACTTTCATGAAAAACAGAATGGAAATGAATATGTTACAGGCAGGATCGAAGAACAAAGGTGACTTTACATAACAGAAAAGTTATCAAGATGATGGCATGTTTCAAAATTCTAAATAGAGATCATATGAGATACAGATTACATCAAGTTACACTACAAATGGGAGCTGCTCCTTTGAACTCAGGTTTGCAAGCACACTAAGGTTTATACTTTTTTCCTTGTCTATGATTAGATTAAGGACTACAAATCCCTTGTTGGCCACAGTTAGCCTCCCGACCACTACAGATAGCCTCCAGACCACCGAGATGGACTCCAGACCACTACAGATAGCCTCCAGACCACCGTGATGGCCTCCAGACCACTCCGTTGGTCTCACAGGATCACCGGCTCACGACAGTGAACCACTCTAGCCGATCTTGCCGAGCACCGGCTCAGGCGAGTGGAGCACTTGACGGTCTCGCCGAGCACGCGCTAGTGTTGCCGAGCACCCACTAGCCGTGCAGACCACGTACCGGCGTTGTCCGTACCCACACACTACGGACGGAGTTGGGAGAAGAAGGGAGAACAGAGCAAGCACGCACAATACAAGACAACGGCGTTGGCGAGGCCCTATCGTGTGATGGCAAATCTGAGCTCTCTTTACCGAGTTGCCATACATGTCTATTTATACAACTCTAACTATCTAGTCCATGTGCAGCGTCCATCTCGCGCACAAGAACTAGAGATAACTTTGACAGAGGGACTGACTCTGCCACCACGCCTTTTTTTCTCTGATCTTTGCTTGGTGAGCCGTGCTGGCGCCGCGCACCGCAGCTGCTCTGAGATCACAGCGAGGGGCAAAGTCGGCGCCGCCTTCCCTTGCTGTGTTCACACACAGCAGCGGCTAAGTCGGCGCCGCCTTCCTCTGCCTTGTTCATACAAGGTGTCAGTAGATTAGCTAACATCCCATTTGTTACAAAACAACTCAGATATCAGGCTCACGAATTTTAGTATTGGCTAATATATTTTAGGATGCAAAGAGAAACATGAATCTTCAAACACTTCTCCTGTAGATCACACAATGTATTATGGAGTAACAAAAACAGTAAATACTAAAAAACTATAGCATGCTAGTACATATGCTTTATACCTTGTGCTTTGGGGATGACCACATCTCCACCAATGCTCTCCATTGGTCATCACTCATACAGCTCACAGGTGACGTAGTCCTGACTTGATTTGCCGAAACCCCGTCAAAGTACTTTTTCTTCAGTGTATGCATTCTCTGTCGCTGTCCACGCTTCAGCATATCAACACATGCATCTTTCACTGGCTTAGCCTTGATGTCCATGTCGAATTTGGCCTAGTAAAAACAATCAAATTTAGAGTTGAGAATGAAAAGGACACGATGAACTTAGATTAGACATGTCAAATAGTTAGACTTACAGCTAATTTGCCAATATAGTTATCAATTTGATCCTCATTCTCCTTAGCCTTGTACTCCTTCCAGTGTGGAAATATAGGTATATGATCCCTAAGTGCGATCCCACCTTCGGATGCAAGCTTTGCGGCTTGCATAGGTGCCTCTGGCCTTCTCTTCCCTTCAGTTAAATGGATTCGCATCTTGTTGCCTAACCCTCTGGTTAAACAGTCCAATTCTTTGCCCATAGTTACTCCTCTTTGCACCTCTTGTGTCGTTGGAGTTATTGTACCTAACATGGTTTCATTTATGGAGTTAAGCGAAGAAAAAGGAGATAAATAAAGAAAAATATAGATGACAAGATATAGAGGAAGCACAAATGCTAAGGTCAGATTACTCCCTGTCTTAATCAACCATCCATATGCTAAGTCCATATTATGATCACATAAAAAATATCAGCATTCAAACATTGATGTGTCAAATTAAAAGTAATAGCTTCTACGTGCACTGCAGTTCAGTATCAGCATTCGGCACATGCTAGTTCAGCACTACATGCACTGCAGTTCAGCATTCAGCACTACCTACACTGTAGTTCTGCACTGCTATCACTAAGTAGATCAGCTGTGCACTGTAGTTCAGCACATGGTAAAGAACAAAAGCTTCTACGTGAAATAGAAACCCCAATCTAGGATGGACTTGCCTGCATCACTAAGGTGGATAATGTCCTCATTCTGGCTTGCACTAGCAGTAGGCACCACTTCGTCACGTGTGGCAGCAGTAATTCTTAGGGTAGCAGCAGTTGTTTGCCTAGTGACTATAGTAGTTCCCTCTTGTTGCTGAGGTGCCACCACTCTCTCTAATGTTCTTGAACCCCCAGCAGAGAAGTTAACACTATCTTGGGCATCCTTAGCAACCTGAGAAACCTCAATAGGCATCAAACAAGAATAATTAGACCAAAATAAAAAGAATTACAGAAAAAAATTACTAAGGACAATTACTAAGGACTAGCATTAATATAGGAAACATTCGAATACTAAGAACTATTAGTACCTTGTTAGTTATCTCTTGTTCAGAGCCCTCATTGTCCTCACCACCATCACTGCCCTGAGGGTTGAATAAAGACCCTGAAAGCTCAGGACCATTGTCCTTGCTCCTTGCACTTTTTTCTTCATTTGGTTTGCTATTCCTCGAATCCCAAGCGATGCCATCTTTTGGTTGTTCTTCATTATTTCTTTGTCCCTCATCTTTTCATATTCAGTTAATGGTGCTTCTGTACAACCATTTAGAAAAAAAAAGTAAGCAAATGTCCATTTTTAGAAAAGGGAATATATTAATATCCCAGCTTCTGCATCGACTAATGCATATGGCTGTTCATTATTACAAGAAAGCGTAAGACGGTCCAGCGAATCTCAAAAACAAAGTTTTGAGCCATAAAGACAACAAAGTTTTCAGCAGCAAAAACTAAGGGCAAGTCTATTGCTAAATCTCCAGCCGTGTCTTGCAAACACTTCCATCGCGGCTGTCTCAATAGTCCTGCATCCCATCTTCATCATATGGCGATCCTCCTCCTTCTGAAGTAGGGACCAGGACCTGGTCCAATATGTCCCCTTCAAGATAACCTGCAAATAAGATGGTGCTAGGGCCTTGTCAAACACAATATCATTCCGGGTTAACCAAATCGCCCAGCAAATGGCACTTGCACCCACAAGAATTTGAGATTTCATTTTCCTGTTTAACCCTTCCAACCAACTTGTAAACATATTGTGTACACTATTTGGAGGTATTAGGTTGAAGGAAACATGAACAATTCTCCACATGAATTTAGCATAATGACAGTCAAAGAGGAGATGTTGTATGGACTCATTGGAGGAACAGAAACAACACTTCCTGTCTCCTTGCCACTGCCGCCTAGCTAAATTATCTTTTGTTAAAATTACACCCTTGTACAAGTACCACATAAAGACTTTGATTTTGAGAGGTAGTTTCAGTTTCCAAATTAAAGTGTTATACGGTAAAGCTTGTACTCCTAACAAAGCTCTGTACATGGAATTGACTGAAAACAACCCATTCTGATGTAGCCCCCACACAAAGCAATCTCTCTGGTTTCTTAGGTGTACATCTGCAACCATAGCCACCACATTGTGCCATGCTTGCAAATTAGCCCTCATCAGAGATCTCCTGAAAGCTACATTTAGCGGTGTCGTAGACAGCACTGACCTAAAAGATGCACTTTTCTTTCTCATAATGTTGTATAGTGCCGGGAAGAGCGTTTTCAATGGGTGTGGCGTTATCCATGAATCCTCCCAAAAACGCACTTGAGACCATTCACCTAGATCAAACCTACCCATCGAAAGGAATTCATCCTTGACCTTCATGAGGCCAGCCCAAAACTGAGAGTCCCCGGGCATGTGTTAAACCTGTGTCAAAGTTTTGTCCCTTAAATATTTATTCTTAAGCAATTGTTGCCAAACCCCGTCTCCATTTAACAATTTAAAAAGCCATTTGCTTAGGAGACACTTATTGTGAACATCTAGATTTAGGACTCCCAATCCTCCTTGGTCTTTTGGTATACAAACTACCCCCCACTTTGTCAATCTATATTTTTTCTTATGTTCATCACTCTACCAAAAAAACCGTGATCTAAAATAATCCAACTTCTTCAAAACCCCTCTAGGTATTTCAAAAAAGGACATCATGAACATGGGAAGACTACTTAGAACCGAGTTAATGAGAACAAGCCTCCCTCCTACCGACGACATCTTACTTCTCCAACCGCTCAGTCTCTTTTGAAATCTTTCTTCAACATGTTTCCAGTCCTTATTCATAAGTTTTCTATGGTGCATAGGAATTCCTAGGTATCTAAACGGAAACGATCCTACATTACACCCAAAAATTTGTGCATACTCATTTTGATTAGCTTTGGTTGCTCCATAGCAAAACAATTCGCTCTTATGAAAATTGATCTTGAGTCCTGATAGCTGTTCAAAAGCACAAAGTAGGAGCTTCATGTTTTTGGCCCTCTCTAGATCATTGTCTATAAAGATAATAGTGTCATCTGCATATTGAAGGACTGAGAGTCCATCTACCAAATGAGGAACCACTCCTTGGATTTGTTCAACCTCTTTTGCTCGTGAAATAAGAATTGCCATCATGTCAACCACTATATTAAACAATATTAGAGATAACGGATCCCCCTGGCGCACTCCTTTTCTTGTTTGAAAATAATGGCCTAAATTATCATTGACCTTTACTTCAACACTCCCTCTAGTAATGACTTTTAAAATCCATTCACACCAAACTGGTGAGAATCCTTTCATTCTGAGGACTTGTTGTATAAAAGGCCACTTTAGTTTATCATACGCTTTTTCAAAGTCTAGTTTTAAGATCACTCCATCTTGTTTTTTCCTATGCAACTCATGAATTGTTTCATGTAGGATTACAACTCCTTCCATTATATAGCGCCCCGGAATGAAGGCCGTCTGAGACGGACCTATCAGTTTATCAGCCACTTTCAGAATTCTATTGTTTAGTACTTTTGTAAAAATCTTAAAGGACACATTTAAGAGACATATAGGCCTATATTGTTGTATCCGGATGGCATCCGTGATCTTAGGTAATAGTGTAATTACCCCAAAGTTTAAACTATGAATAGGCAATCTCCCCGCATGGAATTCATAAAAGAGGCTCATCAAATCTGGCTTGACAACATCCCAAAAGAATTGTTAAAATTTATAGGAAAGCCATCCGGGCCAGGTGCCTTGTTATGTTCCATGTCGAAGACTGCCATTCTGACCTCCTCACTGAATTGAGCCACCAATACTTCATTCTCCTCCTCCGACACTTGAGGTATGTCATGCCTCAAAGTCTCGTCCATTGAGAAAGAATTCTGTATATGAGGTCCAAACAGTCGTTTATAATATTTAGTTATATAATCTTTCAAATTCGCATCCCCAACAATAACTCCTTCCTGTTCTAGCTGTATGATTTTTGTTTTTCTATGTCTCCCATTTGCCACCAGATGGAAATACTTAGTATTATCATTCTCTTGCAATAACTTTGTTGCTTTTGATCGTTGGAGCCAATAGATCTCCTCCTCTCTCAGCAACTTAGTTAACTGCCCTTTAAGATGATGTCTAAGCTCCACCTCTTGAGGTGACAACAAACTTGTTCCTGCCTTTATATTGAAAACATCTATCTTAGTCACCAGGTCTACTTTATGTTTCTTGTTTTGGGAAACCAAGTTTCTAGCCAATCCTCTAAGGAAACGTCACAACCTTCTAATCTTATTTTGCCACCGTTCCACGGGTGATCTACCCCATTCTCATACTCCCACACCTTCTACACATTTTAGTGGTGACTGTCTTCTGACCCACAGTACCCGCATTTGTCGTCTCAATCACTGAATTCTCAACCCGCACATCACTTGGTCCAGCTGCCGAAGAAGAGCCCTGCAAAATTTGAGATCCTTGCATCACATCGACGTTGACCACACCATGCTCAGTCCCTGCTATCTCCTTTCCTGTTAGCTGCTGCTGTTCCACATTGGCAAATTGCTGCTGCTTCACACCCATCCCCGGCTGTAATGATGATGGCTGGGCCACCATTGCCGATGTCGCTGGAGGAGCTTGAGATGTGTACTGCTGCTGATTCACTGGCTGCTGCACCTGGATCTGAGGGGGATTCGGCACATACTGTTGTGATGGCACATGCTGCTGCAGTGGCACATGTTGCTGCGGTGGCACACGTTGATGCGAAGGAGCTTGAGGCGGCATCCGCTGCCGCTGAAAATTGCGAGCCTGCCGGTACCCACCGTTCCACCCGCGAGCTCCATTACCTCCGTGTCGACCTCTTCGTCCCCGCTCATACTCCCATCCGGGGCCATAGTTTGGCGGATGAACCCCAAGATTAGGGTTGAAGCGTGGACCATTGAAGTGCGCGCCGTCATCGTTGTGTTAGTTGTAGTCGTACCCAGCACCATAGCCATGGCGGCCACCGCGCGCACCACCTCCACCTCCTGTGCGTCCTCCACCACGACCAACTCCATATCCCCTTCCTCTAGTAGCACCACCATTGTTTCCGATGCCACCGTTTCCCATGCCACCCACACCCGTTGCCACCATACCTGTACGCAAAGCTTGGGCGTACGATGGAGAAAACGAATAGGGAGTGGTGGCTAGGGTTTTCCTGTTAATTGCTTCAATGTCGCAAGTGTCGAGAAGAAATCGCATGACCAATTTTCCACCGCAGCATTTGCTGCATCCTCACCTAATCAGCGCGCAAGGCCCACGTTGGGCCTGGTCAGAGGGCCCACCCGTCCTTGCGGCTAATTCGGATCGGGATTGTAGCACCGAAACCGGATCACATACGTTTTGGATTCAAACCATAGGAGGCTGATCACCATGGGGCTTTGACGTTCCCAACAATGCCGGTGATGATGAAGACCGCAAAGCCTAGGCGAAAGTGCCCTTCGTCACCTAACCTTCACCGCACAATCGCCGAGGGTCATCGCCGGTGACTTCCTTGGGCGTGGCAGCTTGCCCAACCAAGGTGTCCTAGCCGGCCGATGAATGTCTGTCAAGGCCTTCATGATGTTACGTACAAGCTCAACCTTCGAGTTCATCGATGCTGGAGTTATTGGTTGTTCTACCCGCTGTTTAACTGACGAATCTTGCAACGCTAACTTCGCCTCATACAGTTGATCCTTGGTGAAACCATGGACTGCTACATGTCTTACCGAATCCGGCTTGTAGGGCGACTGAGCTATGACCTCATCGGAATCGTCGTCGTTCGTCGACGCCCAAAACTTGGACTTCACTCCTATGGGACGGAGGTCTATCGCAGGATCGGGTACAAGTCGATCACCACGGTCACCAACAGATTTTCATCCGCTGTCTTCATCCTCCGTCCCATCTCCTTTTACCAAATCTCCAGATAAGCTTACCTTAGTCTCGCTTACCAGCACCGCCGCTCGCCGGCGAAGATCCAAGACCGCTGGGATGCGTGGTCGCCGTGCGAGTGGTCTACCAGGAACCATAGCGATCCTATTCCCCGTCAGGCTGTTGTCGCCGGGGTCTGGAACGACGGTCTGGCCAGTGCCGGCGTCGCTATGCCTGCCTCCAGTGAATTCCTACTCGTCGTCGTGGTCGCCGGAGTCGTGGAGTCGTCGACCTTCAGTGGGATCCGGCTCGACGTCGGGGACCACGAGGCCGCCCCCCGAACTCCTCCCTACTGCGAGCCTATTCCCCCATAAGGCTATTGTCGCCAGGGTCGGTCTTGGCGTTTAGGCCGTCTCCGGCACCGCGGAGACACCGATCTCCAGCGAGATCTGGGTCGCTTTGGTGGTCGCCGACGTAATGGAGTCGCCGGCCTTCAACAGGTTCTGGTTCGCCGTCGAGGTCCTCGGGATAGCCTCCCGAGCTGCTCTCAACGGTCATGCCCTGGAGGACCTTAGCCGTTCAGATGTGTATTTATCACCCAAATATCAGCCTTCAGAAATTGATGTGCTAAATTAAAAGAAATAGATTTCCTTCACCCAAATCATGTAGATTTATAAAGTCACTGATTTTAGCAATCTCAATAACTACTTATTTATTTGAAAGACCAATCCCCTCTACTCCACCATTAGCAGCAGATCTGCAGATGCAATTCTAGCATGCTGCTGCAATCCCACACTTAAGTGGTATTTGGATCCGGTGACTAAAATTTAGGAGGTGTGTCAGGAGGATGTTGTATGGGGTGTTCGGATACTAATAAAAAAATAAATTACATAATCCATCAGTACTCCACTAGACGAATTTTTTAAGCCTAATTAATCCTTCATTAGCACATGGTTACTGTAGCACCATATTGTCAAATCATGGGCTAATTAGGCTTAAAAGATTTGTCTCGCAAATTAGTCGTAAACTATGCAATTAGTTTCGTAATTAGTCTATATTTAATACTCCATGCATGTGTCCAAACATTCGATGGGACAACGACTAAGATTTAGTAGGGGCAACCAAACACCACCTTAGACTAGTGCCCCTGCACCTTCCTCAGTATCACCCTGCTCCTTCTCTTCCTCCACCAACAGAAAGTGCCGCCCCCTCTCTTCTCCCTACTCCTCCCAGAACTGCACCCCCTCTCCCCATTGCAGCCCTAAAACCTTATTGCTACCCAAAAAACTCAGATCTCACAGCAACAATGGATGGATCCTTACGATATTACCTGGGGGTGGTCGCGCCTTTGCTCGCACCTTCCTTCCTGGAGCCATCTTGGTCTTGGGATGGACGTGATTGGGGACTGGGGAGGGCAAGCTCGGAGAGATGAGGCGGGTGTCGGCCAGGAGTACCAAATGTTTTGGCTAGGGTTCAACGGGGATGTCAGCCGCTCATTTGCATGTGGTGCGGCAATGTAATTGGATCCTGGACAAAAGAGGGATTTCGTCCTCTGGCGGGTTATTAGCTGCTCGGCGGCGGTAGTTTTCGCAGGTGGTGAAATTTTCACCGAGCGAGGAACCAGCCGAAGTGCGAAATAGTTGTTTGCAGTCATGTATTGCGAATATAAATAAATTTACCTTTGCATGTGTGCCGAATAATATTTTATTCCAGTGGTAAGACCCCAAGTTTTGTGTTTTGTATGGTGTGGGTTCGATTCCCACACGAGCCATGTTTTCTTTTTTTAATAATAATAATACTAACAGGTGTGTTTTCTTTATTTTTTTCTAATTCTTACCTTTAATACAAACATGTGTGGAAGCTTCTTTTTCTAGATTTTACATTTAACACTAACTTGTTTGTTTTCTCTCTTTCTCTACTTTTTAGCTTTAATACTAACATGTGTGGATGCTTCTCCACATGTGGCAGCAAGGACCCATCCTTGCTAGTGGGCCAAGCATGCCAACGTGTATTATATATGTAGGCAATTTTTTTAAATCAACTACAATTTATGACAAGTACGAATTGTCATACACATCATCACAAGCACAATGGTAAAATAGGTTATGACGATTTTGGGTTGAACTTAATGACAGAGAATATTTATTTGTCATTAAGATGGACTGGCTCACGTCAATCGTCATAAAAAGAGTGTCTTAGTGACAGATAACTCCATTGTCATTATTTATTCATCAGCAGAAGGTCCCATTTGTTGTAGTGGCACTTTGTCGCACGAAGAGTCTGCAACCACCACTTCGACCACTACGTTGACCACCTCTATCATATCCAAGGAAGCACTTGCATTCGCCACAACTACTTCCTCCTCGTGTCGTCTACCTCATTTATACTCATGTCTGATTGCATGCTCATTTCCCATGCCTTATCAAAGTAGCCAGGTAGGAGTGTGCTGATGGAGAGCCTATAGCGGAGCTATTTAGAATGTGATCTGAAGAACAATTGGCTAGAGGGTGTGGACAACTGGATGGGCCCAATATCACAGAAACGTGCCAAACGACGTATGGAAGAATATCTTCCTAATTTAATATTAAGTGTAGATATAGATTGATACAACGAGATCTTGACACATTTTGATATTAAAACTCCCCTCGGCAAAATTAGTTACCAATATGAAAAAACTTGATGGTGATTGAGATGTAAGGTGGACATCGAAGTTTGGGTGTAGCTAAAGCTGAAGGTATAATGAATGTTAAGCTCTTTATACGAGTTAGATATTTAGAGAAAATGTTGATCATGCTAATTTAGTAAAGATTCATAGCTAAATCCCATTATAGAGTATTAGAATGCCAAATAATGATGATTATAGCCTTCATGTAGTTAGTATACACATGAAAGTTGTGATGGTACAATTTCCAACAACTAATATTAGATGAGGTAGTCTAGAGCCATTGTGGTTGCATACGGATACTTGAATTAGGTAGGCTTGTGCATTGCATTTTAGCCGTGTTTGATTGCCCACGAAGGCGCTTATGAAGGAAATATTTGATCGTATTAGGCAATGTAGATCTGCACAAGCTGATGGGGCCCATGAAAATGGAATATCCTCACCTGACCCACCTATACTAGAATATGGAGGTGACCATGTGCAACAAAATATAAGCAAACAAACCCAATCTTATTAATAACATGCATAGGATTTATAATGAACACATTGCATATGTTTATGTTGTCTTAGGTTGTGTTGCATAAGGGCTAGTGCAAGCGGCCAATCGCTACCTATGAATAGGAGAACAACCATATTAACATTGGCATTTCATAAATTTGTCAAGTATCTGATAAGAACTAGTAGATACCCAGCACACTATGACATGTTGTGATGGGGATTTCATAATGAATTATGAATTCTAACAAGATGATTCTATGTGATTCCATAAAGCATTAAATTCACTTCATGGAGACAAATATAATTTGAATCAATTTGGAACATATTTGGCCTTAATTACATGAACAACAATTTTATATCTAAGGAGGCCTATGTGGGACTATAGGTTTGCTACTGAGTTGCCATTACCAAAGGGAATTTTTGAAATTCTTTAGGAACAAAATTGCACAACAATGATATTGGCAATCTCCTAGGATTGAAGTTCAGTGCTGATGACTAGAGTAGTGTTTACAGGATCTCTTCTTGTAAATTGATTTCACATCTTAGTAAATTAATCTTTTTTCAATCCTGTAATACAATGCCCGTCCAAGGATGCTAAGTTTATCAAAATGTTAAAACATGTGAAAGCCCTAGTTTGGTTTTGGAAAATTGATGAAACCTAAGCACTAACCTTTATCATGAGTTATGATATGAGCTAGGTTGGTGCAATCCAAGTATGGAGCATTGTGGCACTCAAGAAATGGTGATGATCACATGAAATGATGAGATGACCACATGTGATGATGATCAAGTGCTCAACTTGGAAAAGAAGAAAGAGAAAAACAAAACCCTATGGAGATCAAGGCAAATGTATAAATAGGAGTTTTGTTTGAGTGATCAAGACACTAGAGAGAGTGTGATCACGTTTATGGTAGATGGCCGTACTATTAAGAGGGGTTCTTAAGTAGACAATTCGATCATCTAGTGGCACTAGGTGTCAACGAAATACGTCCGGCAGTCTACCGAGGGGTATGCCCACGATAGTAGATGAATCAGTGGAGGTGCGCGTGAGGGAGCCGGATGGTGACACAGAACGCAAGAGACAACGATTAGACAGGTTCGGGCCGTTAGCTTGACGTAATACCCTATGTCCTATGTCTTTGTGGATTGTATTGCGTATGATCCGATCAAAACGAGAGGGGCCCCTACCCACCTTATATAGCTCAAGGGGTAGGGTTACAGATTGGTTGTTTCTATCCTGATCGGTTTAACAAGATAGGAAGTTACAGATATTCCGGGATCTGGCATATCCGAGCAGGTTTCCTAGATCATCGAAGATCTTCACGTAGTCTTGCGAGGCACGCCGACCTATATCGTGCCTCGCATGGCGTCGTCTCGTAGGCTGGGCCTCCACCAGTGGCGTTGCTCATGTGTAGTCTTGTGGGTTGGACCTCCCCTAGCGGCTCGGCCCATGTATAGCCCTGCTGGTATCAGGGGTTATACCCTCACAGCTAGTCCTCGAGCGCCTTGCTTCTGTTGAGCAACACCATCTTAAGCTTGTTCGAGCTATTAAGCATGCATCCGAGCTGCTGAACATGCCATCCGAGCTATTTGAGCATGCATCCGAGTTATCTGAGCATACGTCCGAGCTGTCTGAGCATGCATCCGAGTTGTTCGTCTGGTTGCTGGAGCCTAGCACACTCAAAGCCAGGGTTTGTCAGAAGGATGTAAGGAGCTCAAGTAAAAAAATTAAAAGTCTCCACCTTGGGTGAAGTGTGCCCACTTAGGTTCCGGGTGTCGAAGTTGGTCGCATGGCGTCCTTGACTTAGTTAGCGGAAGAACTTAGCTATTTTGTAGAAGAGTGAAATCTTGATTCTTGTGAGCCAAATTCAAGCATGTTAGGAGCTGAACTAGCCTATGACCCAAAAATAAAAGTTGTTGCTTTCATCAAATACTACAACTTTGCTTTAGTGAACACATCCATGCAAAGGCTCTATGACATGGTTCAAACTAGGTCAAACATGCCACTTTCAAATGGTGACTTACACTACAACTAGGACTTAGTGACCAAACTAGTCCTTGTCATGAATATCAAAGTTGTTCATAATGACATTCTAAACATGGTTAAGGTATTCCTAAGGTCACACAAGCATTTCATATATTGGTTACACATAAAACTTCCTAGGTCAACAAGCATATCACCACTCAGGAGCTTAATTATACCAAGTGATCTACATGAACATTGTTTCATTAGTCATCCTAAGTGTAGCTAAGGTGCTTTAGTGACCAACATCAACCACTTACACTTATTCACACTTGATCATAAGCATACACACAAGGAAACATGAAATAACAAGGCATGTTTCACATATTTTAGTTATATGTTTCATATGTAAAAGCTCATATATGAATGCTTGATGATTATGCTCATGCCATGCAAGTCAAATTATGCAAGCCTAACACCTAGGGTGTTATAGTGGTAGTTGCTCGATAACCGCAATCTTGGCTTTGTCTACCTCGATCCCCCTTTCGGACACAAGGTGCCCAAGGATGATGCCTTCTCAGACCATGAAATGGCACTTTTCCCAGTTAAGTATCAGGTCCTTCTCTTGGCATCGTTGCAAGACTTTATCCAAATTCTCAAGACAATGATCGAAATATTTTCCATAGACTAAAAAATCGTCCATGAAAACTTCCATGATTTCCTTAATCATGTCTGAGAAAATAGACATCATGCACCGCTGGATACAAGCGGGTGCATTGCACAACCCAAATGACAATCATCTGTACGCATACGTTCCATACGGGTAAGTGAATGTAGTCTTGCTTTGATCATCGAGGTGGATAGGAATCTGATGATACCCCGAATACCCATCAAGGAAATAGAAGAAAGAGTGCTTCGCTGACCGCTCTAACATTTCATCAATGAAATCAGCGGGAAGTGATCTTTCTTTGTAGCTGAGTTGAGTTTTCGGTAATCTATACACATCCTCCACCCCATGACGGTTCGTTGTGGGATCAATTCATTTTTATTATTCTCCATGACTGTCATTCCTCCTTTTTTGGGTATCACTTGGACGGGACTAACCCAATCGCTATGTGGTACAGGATAAATTATCCCGGCATGAAGAAGTTTGAGGACCTCCTTCTTCATGACTTCCCGCATCGCATTATTCAGCCTACGTTGAGGTTCTCTAGACGGTGTGCTAGAGGGGTCAATTGGGATGCAATGGGTAC